CCCCCCGACCCCGGTCCCCCAAATCCCCTTTCGACGAATGGCCCCCCTGTCCCCCACGAAGTTACTAACACCTTCTGTAGAAATGACCCCCCACCCTCTCCAACCCCTAAACCAACCCGAAAAAAAAAAATAAAAAAATTCTTACTTTGTCCATCAAGTGGACCCTCTAAACCCCGAGCCTGCACCGTCGAAAATCGAAAAAGGGGGTCCCTCATTTTTTAACACYCCCCTAAACAGACCTCAATTTGGACCCCCCCGTTTTAAACTTTTTTTTGTTTTTTTCCTTGAGGGGGTGCAGGGCCTCATTCGCGGCCCCGGAATCCCGACCCCGACCTCCGGCACCCCCTCCCCCGCGCCCGCGGCGCGCCGTTCCCGACCACGACCGCGGCGGTCAAGACCGCAGGCTCGCAGCCTCGACCGCGGGCCACGGTTATGCCCGCGTTGACCACGACCGCTGGGGATACATAGTCACACGGTGCGTGGGCAACGCAGGATGTGTGTACGGCGGACACTCAAGCAAGTGCTTCCTCATTCTGTGGTACTCTGGCCTCCTCGCCGCCTTGAATGGAATGCCGCTCACATAGTACCACTCCAGGAAGTAGTTGGAAAAATCACGTTGCCAGACCGGATCGAAGGCCTCAACCATGGAAGTCTGTCGAAGGACTTTGCTCTTCTTCGTCAGAGGGGGTGCCAGTGGAGTCCCCGTGACAATATTTTTTGCCTTCCTCTTTCTCTTCTTCGATCCCTTGCCTCCATCACTGACCATCATCGCTCTTGCTGCCCCCTCTTGGCCTCGACGGCCACCCGACTATCAGCCCCCCATCAAGAGAGGCTCCAATGTCCACGTCCTCGTCGTCGTCCTCACCCGGAGTGTTGTCCTCGTCGACGACCTTCTCCCCCCTCATCTTGCCCCTGGCGCGCTCCACCTCTCTCCGCACGTTCATGGCCAGCATATAGCTGTCATCATCATACTCTCGACCCTCGGTCGCCCACCTCTCATCCTCGTTGTCCTCGTCCTCCTCCTCCCCCGCCTGCTCCCTCCTCGAAGTACATATGTTGTCTCGATACCCACGAGACTTCAGGAAGTCGAGGATCTTCCGGCAATGGCTCTGATCGAACTTATAGTTCGTCTTGTTCCAAATCTCTGCCAGCTGCTCCACAGAGACTTTGGGGCAATTGTTCTTTATTGTGAAGTGTGCAGCGGCCTTCGTTTGACTGCCCTGAAACCCCTCGCCACACAATTTGCACTCCATGAGGAAATCACCATTGGAGCCCGGCAGCGTTTGCCCCTTCGTGATCCATTTGAGCCTGCAGAACTTCAGCTCCATCGCCCTCTGTTTGTCCTTACTGGTAGGGACAAACAGTTGGTCTCCCCTCCCTTTCCTGGGCCCCATTGTAGACAGAGCACAGAGTCAGAAACAGGCAACAGCGCCCCTCGACACTACGGCCTTCTCC